TCAAATTTAAATGTACAACTAGAAAATATAATTGTTAATTAAAGAGGTTCTCCAAATAAAATGAAAGAGAAAATGTAATGATTTTAAAAAATAAATCAATAATTACTATTATTTTTATTAAAAAAACTAGAAAAATAAAAGAAGTGAAAACTATGTACTGGTAGGCCTGGCAAGCTATGCCAGCCTACCTAATCTATTTTGTTAAGGCCTCACATGCCGCACAATTGAGCCTTTAATTTATTTATTTATTGTAATTAAAACGAAAAACATGTTATTTGCCAAAGTGTTTTGAAAAGAAAAATTAGATGACAAGTTTTTATGTGGAGCTTAAGTTTTTTTTACCAAAAATATTATTTTTAATACATTTTTTAACTTAGAAACATCTATAAAACAATATAGGAATCGTAGCAAACCTATTCATAGCCTAAAAATAGGTTCAAAAAATCAAAAATCAATCCAAACTCATATATATTTTTTCACAAACTTTAAAGGTGAAAAAACACATAATATGAATTCTCTTCATCCAATAGAATCATTTGATACAAAGATCATTCATTTTAACAGTCTAAATTGGAGTCAATAACACTTTTCTCTTTCTATCATCGGAATCCCGTGATTTTTTTTGGTAGAAACTAGAATTTTTTTTTTTATCAAAACTAAATTAAAAAACTATTGAGATACTAAAATTGTATATCTAACTTAATTTTTAAAATTTAAGGATTAAGATATATATTTTATAAAGTTTATAGCATGTCACTTATATCTGATATTTATTTTATTTAAGTTTTTTTTTTATTTCATATTTTTATAAAAAATTAAAACCAATTGATTTTTAATTACAACTAAATCATCAACAACAAAAATAAATTAAAAAATATAAAATTTTATACAACTCTTCGTGATAATATTTAAAAGGACAAAGAATAAAATCCTGTACGGTTAAAAAATCCACTTCTTTTATAGAAATACTCAAAGATTAAGATTACGATAAAGATAATTGGTTAGATTTCGTAGGAATCAAGGAAGAAACACGAGGTAAAGGAACTAAAGAGACACGATAGAGCTCTAAATGGCCCGAACCATTTAGGAGATGACATATGAATTGGTCTTTGCTTCTCTTTAGTAAAGGATCATGTGGTTTTTTTTTTTTTAGATTAACGTGGGTGTTCGGGTCAGCTTGCGCGTATCACGATTAATCCCACGGGCCCTGAAGTTAACGATCATGTAAGCCTCCAGTGGCCATCATATGAGCAACCAAGGACTCGAACCTGAGACTACAGAGGGAGCAAACCCCTTGATCCCAAGTCCTTACTACTTGGCCACCACCTAGATGGTTATCATGTGGTTTTTTATTATGGTTGGTTGGCGTGTTCATCCCCCCTCCCCTCGTGTTTTTTTCTTTTTCCTTTTTCTCTTCTTTTTCTTCTCAAGTCAAGACAAATTATTTGGATTTTTTTTAGAATGCAGTTATTTTTTAAAATATTTTTTATTAAAAAATATATTAAAATAATATTTTTTATGTTTTTAAAATTATTTTTGATATCAGTGCATCAAAATAATTTAAAAATATAAAAAAAATATTAATTTAAAACAAAAAAATTAAATTTTTTTAAATACAAAAACAAACAAAACCTTCACAAATTTTAAAACTTTGATCGGTAAAATCAGCCCAAATGACCTAAGCCAGGGCTAGCAAGATTGAAAAGAAAATAATGAAAAATATTGACTTTGCATCATCCAAAAACATATAATTTGAGATACAATCTGGTTAAAAGGTTGAGTCAAATTTAATTTTTTTCTTGAATATTTTTGGACATGCTAGATCTTGGACTTAATGTTGAGGAGAATATTTTTTCAAAATTTCCTATCATCAACTTACATAACAATGTTATATATATATTAAAATGCAAAAAGAAAGAAGATTACTAAAAAAAAAGGAACCCTAACGTCATAAATTCAAAAACAACAAAGCATCCAAGTATTATGTAAGAAGAGTGAGAGTAAAAAAGAAGAATGGTGTCCCTGACGGGGAAAAAGAAGAGCTCTACAAAAATAAATCTCTAACCTTACAAACGAAGTTAATGCTGTTTGTATATAAATAGACATGAGTGGGCTAATAGACGTGATGGGGATGTAGCTTTTCTTTGTATTTACTAGGCCTGTAATAGACATGAATGGACTGGAGGTCGTAAAAAAACTGAATTTATATTTAGGCTCGTAATTTATTATTTAACACACACACACACACGCGCATATTAAAATTTAATTATTAAAATATAAGAGCTGACGAGATCAATATCTAATTGGAGTTTTAAAGATTATACTACTTATATTGCGATAATTTGACACCCTGGGATTTTTATCTATTTTTTTTTTTTGGCCAATGGAGTATAGAAAAGAGGAGCGGATGCCTTTATTTGAATGTTTCCAACTACAAAGGCTCGAATGTAACTCCCTCTGTGGTCACTGTATCCTTTTGCTCTCCTTTGTTGTTTCCTTTCAAGCGGAGCTGGAGTGTTGTGAATGAAAATATGCTAAAGCATAGAAAGATCACAGGGAAATATAAATTATTTTTGAAGGAACCAAAAAACTGCTTACTAGGAGATAATCTTTAAATGTAAGTGTAAAAAAAAAAGAACAAAAAAGAGAGAGACTTTCAGGGTGCCTCTGCCGTGGCCGCGCCAAGGCCACGGCAAAGAAATTCTCGCTAGTAAATTGACAGGGAGCAAATATGCTTACTTTCTTCAATGCGAGGGCAAGTTCGATGCTCAGTCAATTGAATTGATTAGATGCTTAATCCATCAATCACTGCACAAAAAATATCAATTTCCCCGCGTGAATTGTCTTCACCACACCCACTTTTCTTCCCTTATTCGTGAAAAACGAATAATTTAGCCCTATGAGAAGGAAAGAAAAGATGGCCAAGAGAAAGCAATTTCCTAGTGGTCCTATCTTATCCGTGCATGACTTTGACAGCCACTGAACAACCATCTACTCGGAACCGAAACTAACATCGACTCCGAGCAAGCTAGTGCTAGTTGCCCATGCATCTCTGGATTATGATCTTGACATTGCCATGCCCCCCCCCCATTTTAGCTGATATCTAAGAACACTTTACCCATACTTTCGGATCATGCTAACTTTCAAAGGATAGTAAAAACCCGACCCGTTATTTAATTTAATAAATGAGTTTGGATTGGGTGGGAGAATACCTTGTCAAATAGGTTTAACAAGTACTGGGTCACATGCATCACGTTGCAATGAAGAATAATAGCAGCCATTTTCTCATCGAGCATAAAAATCCTGCCACCTTTTACAAAATGAAGATAAAGATTTGTTCGGTAAATTCTATTTATCATGCAGACGGAGAATAAAAATAAAAAAAAATAAAAAAAGAGTAACAACGTGATGATATAAGATTACCAAACAACTATTTATCATGCAGACGGAGAATAAAAAGAAAAGAAAAGAAAAAGGAGTAACAACGCGTGATGATATAAGATTACCAAACATAACAATAAATTAAACCTCTTGATCTGCCATGACTGTAGTTTAAATTACATAACTTCGAGGATGTTTATGCATTTTCAGAAAAACTGTCTAAATTCACCATTTATGAAATCGTGAATGCATTTGGCATCCCAGAGTCTATTATTTTAGAGAAGTTCTTCGTTACCTGTGGATGGGTTCTTAACAAAATAAAATTCGAGGACGAGAAAAATATCACGGGGATCAATTTATTTTTCTCCTCTTTGGACCACTAGCTGTGGTACACGTTCCAATCAACTGTTGCATCCCACAACGCAAACATTCTCAACATTTCCTGATATAGCAAGGATAGATCTGTGTCCGAAAAGATTCTCGAAAATCACAACACACATCACAGACAACAAGTCTCACGATTCTGACGTCAACGGCTGAGATTTCACCTTCCACCCGTAACGTTGAAGGAACACCTTGTCTTTGATCCATGATAATGGAGTCCATCAAAAAAAGCTATTGACCAGTGACAACCCTCGTGGATTAGTGGCAAGTGTAAGGTCAGAAGTCATTTAAAAATGGAACAATGTGGTATTGACAAGTGTCATTACGTAATTAGTTCCTTTATGAATTTCCTGCCATTTCAGGCATGGCAAAAGCAGCAACCTAGCTTCGCGGCCCATTTTCATTTCACCGCCATGCAGGTATTCGGAGACAAATAACGTAACAGAAGGAACAGGCTATTTAAACCGCCATTAAAGAGAAATTTATTATCAATAAAATAAAATAAAGTAACAGAAGGTATAAATTTTCTCAAGTTATTTCAAAGTTTAGATCACTTTTAGTTTGCAAAATACATTTTTACGGGAATAAATCTTATGATGCACTCGCCGTGCACTCAATAAAATTTACGAAGATAATCCAGATATATTTAAAAGATATTTGAAAATATAATGGTGATTTTTTAAAATATCTTTTATTTAATAATATATTAAATTATTATTATTTTTTAAAATTTATTTTTGACACTAATATATTATAAATATCAAAAAACTTAAAAATAATTTCAAACAGACCAGCTTTCATTTGGGCCGTAGTTGTAAAAGTACACTTGACATTGTAAATATATACCTGTAACACTTATTTAAAATTGTATTTTTTTGAAACATTTTTTACAATAAGATAATTTGTTTTACAAATCTTATAGTATAATTTTGCAGTTTAATATGACTTTCGTATTTTTTTAAACTATGATATAAATTAAAATATCTTGAATATATTAGCTCGCGTGGTAAATAAGTATGCTTCCACTGTGAATTTATTTACAGAATCATCATCTTGTTATTTTTGGATTTACATAAACAGTGAACGTGATAAATTACGATGATAATTGTAACGGATCTGTTAACTATTTTAGACGGAAGAATCACGTTGAAAACTAATTCAATCAATCGATGAGGGGTATACATGCTCACACCGTAATAAATAGGGGACACCTTAGGCAGATGCCCACGCACGCGCGCGCTTATATTTTCTTTCACTTTGGCGGTACCCCGCGTCTACCGTGCTTTTGGATTTTCTTTCTTTTTTCTCGCTCCCCTCATTGAAAACGAAAGAGAAACAGAGAGAGAGCAGAGAGATCAAAAGCTAGAAGCAAGCGGTTTTTTTAGCTCCCTGTTTCACCCGCATCCTCTCTCTCTCGCCATCTGTTTTACTCATCTTCACTCTAGCACCAACAAAAGCCACTCTCATTTTCACCAAACGCCTAACTGAAAGTTAGGGCTTCAAGCTATCAAGACTTCTGTGATTCACTCTGAGATCAGCTACTCACTTACTCAAAATGTTGCATTCTGTCTTATCTGCGTATATTGCACGTTTCTCTGTCCTCTTTTCTTTTTTCAATTCCCCTGTAATTTTAACTCTTTTTTATTATTTTTTAATCTGTTGTTGGCGTTATGGATTTTATTTTGTCTTGTTCTAGTTAGTTTAGTTTAGTTTAGTTTAGTTTATTTTGATATGGAATTATATAAATCATATTTTAGGCTTTAAGTTTTTAAGTTGATATGGTTTTTTTGACATGCAATTTTTTTATTTTAACACGTTATCAGAGTTTTGTTAACTAGGTGGTCATGATTTGAAATCTCACCACTCCTATTCTATTTCATAAAAATTAATCACAAGAAATTGTACCCAAAATTGACATATTTTTTTAGATTTCTAGTGAATTTTATTAACTGGTAATATGCGTAAAAACTGTGAAATTTACTGTTCTTTATTTTACCTTCCAGTGTATGTTTTTGGATCATCAATTGTTTTTGATAGATCGAAGAGGTCGTATTATTTGTTTTTTTAGTTTAGCATTTCAGACTTAATATTTTTGGTTTTTGTTATAGATTTCCAAATTCTATCTATTTAGGTAAAAATTGTGAAGTTTACTGTTATTGATTTTGCTTTGTAATATATTATTTACGGATTATCTATTAAATTCCTTTATCATCTAGGGATTATTTATTAAATTAATTAATTTGGATGTATTGAAGTGAAAGTGTTATTTGCCAGTTTCAGGGCTTACAGCTCTACCAAAAAAAGTTGAGCGTGCAGTGCAGGTTAAGAGGCGTTCTTTTTTGAGATTTTCCTGTGATTTTTATTCGACCATGTTTGGGGATTCTATGGCAAACCTTTCCAATGGAAATGTGAATACGCAGCAGCCTGATCCTCGAAGAACTTACCAAGTGGTCGTGGCTGCCACCAAGGACATGGGTATAGGGAAAGATGGGAAGCAACCATGGAAATTGCCTTCGGATGTCAAGTTTTTTAAGGATGTGACCTTGACCACGTCTGATCCTGGGAAGAAGAATGCGGTTATAATGGGAAGGAAGACCTGGGAAAGTATTCCACTTGAGCACAGGCCTTTCCCTGGTCGGCTTAATGTTGTTTTGACTCGTTCTGGAAGTTTTGATATTGCTACCGATGAGAATGTTGTGATTTGTGGAAGCATGGGTTCAGCCTTGGAGTTGTTGGCTGCATCTCCTTATTTTCTGTCGATCGAGAAAGTGTTTGTAACTGGAGGTGGTCAGATATTAAGGTTTGTGCTCTGGAAAGTTGGATTAGTTTATGGATGATTTTTTCTTGTATTGATCATGTTTTAATGCAGGGAATCTTTGAATGCGCCTGGATGTGATGCTATCCACATTACAGAAATTGAGATGGATTTTGATTGCGATACTTTTATCCCTGCAATTGATACCTCTGTATTTCAGCCTTGGTGCTCTTCTTTTCCCAAGATGGAAAATGACATACGATATTGCTTTACAACTTATGTTCGAGTGAGGAGTTCTGCGGTCGATTCCCATAGTCAAAATAATGGTGTGAGCTCTGATGGTAATTCAGAAAACAGTGAGTTTGAGGTAAAAAGGTTCTCGTTCCTTCCCAAGATGGTTTTTGAGAGACACGAGGAGTATTTGTATCTCAGACTGGTTCAAGACATCATCAATGATGGCAATTTGAAGGATGGCAGGACAGGAGCTGGTACTTCATCAAAATTTGGTTGCCAGGTAACATCAACCCTTGATTGCTTACATTTCTGTCTGTGCTTCTTAAATTATGAGTCCATGCAATTACAATTTTTTTAGTTAATTATGATTGCTAATTGATCAATTTATTCCATTTGATACACAGATGCGGTTCAACCTGCGCAAAACTTTTCCGTTTCTTACAACAAAGGCACGTTTATTTTCATTATTACTTGTTATTATTTCTGTAACCAAATTAGTTCTTCTGTATACATTTCCTTCTTTCTTTCTCACTAATCTGGATTCACTCATGCTTCACTATGAGGTCAACTTAAAAAGAAAAAGAACCATTTATTTATCGCATTTATAAGTTGACACAAACTGTTTCAATTTGTTTTTAGAAAGTATTTTGGCGAGGTGTTGTTGAAGAGCTCTTGTGGTTCATCAGTGGTTCAACAAATGCCAAGGTAATCTTATCTTAGTTGTATGCTTTATTTTCCATTTCTTCCTACCAGTCTTCTATGTTTTGATGGGAGTGGATGGGAGCTATCAGTTTTTATTGGTCACCAGTTGTTTTAGAAACTTTACCATGTGATTGGCGCTGCAAAGTGACTGATGTATTATTCTTCCTATCTTGCTTTAGAGTATGATATTTATGATTATTTAGCTGCATGTAGGAATGTCAGGGTTGCAAGATTTGCTATTTGGCATGTATTATTTGTTTCTGCTACAGCTTCCAGCTGACCGTCAAATACTGTTGTGTATCATATGAAAGTCACTCTATTTGCATGAGTTCTCTATAATAGTCCTTGAAGACTTCCTCTAATGTTAGTTGTAGATGACAGAATATAGCTGTATGAAACCCAATTCTAAATGCTGCTACCATGAGCAGGTCCTTCAGGAAAAGGGTATTCACATATGGGATGGCAATGCATCCAGAGATTATCTTGACAGGCACATATTAGCTTTTAGTTTCCTTTATTTCTGCTTATTTTTATATTTTAACCACTGCTCATATATGCAGTTTCTAAATGATATTTTTAATTGTAATAGCAGTGTTGGGTTAAAGGACAGAGAGGAGGGTGACTTGGGACCTTTCTATGGGTTCCAGTGGAGACACTTTGGTGCTAGGTTTGTGGAATTTCCTTTATGGATGTTTAGCTGTAGGATCATACAAGAAAGAGTATCGGGGTAATTGTGTTGCATACATGCTACATGTTTTTTAGGTATACTGATATGCATGCTGACTACACTGGCCAAGGATTCGATCAATTGTTAGATGTTATTGACAAGATCAGGAACAATCCAAATGATCGTTTGATTGTACTCTCAGCTTGGAATCCTTCTGATCTCGAATTGATGGTGCTTCCACCTTGCAATATGTTTGTTCAGGTCTGCATTAACGTTGTGTTTCTACTTTCTAAATCATTTTCTTTATTGACAATTAATCCTGATATTTTATTTCAGTTCTATGTAGCCAATGGAGAATTGTCATGCCAAATGTACCAGCGTTCTGCTGACATGGGCCTTGGTGTGCCCTTCAACATTGCATCTTATGCTCTCTTGACACACATTATTGCTCATGTCTGTGGTATGTCTTTGCAATCATACCATTAATTTACCAATCATGGTCGTTGAATTGCTAGGGTGTTTAATGTTCTAGATGTGCATGTTCAGGCATTTGAAAGGGTGATATGAGTGAACTGACACCCACAAAAGTCAATGGACCCATGACATTTGATTTACTGGTCTTTAAATTGGTAGTTTGGTTGATAACACATGGAAACGTTCAGTGAACTGATGATTTAATGGACAAAAGGAGACCTCTGCTGATGGATCTGGTGGCATATTATTGTTAAGGACACCACTTTTTGGACCTTTGCAAATTCAAATTGATGAAAGAGATTTTTTATAACTATGATATTAGCGAACTTGCATACCCTGATGGAAATATTTGAAGGACTCAGATATAGTCACATTAAGGGGGGATATTTTGTGGATTCTTTTGTGCTTTTTTTGGGGGCATAGTTTCTGTTATCAGGATGGAAAATTTTGTGGTTTCGAGCACTAGACTTTTACCATTATACCGGTCTGCTCTAGAAAAATAGATTATTCTTATAATAGTTTTAATCTCTTTAGCATTGCAATTGCTTGTCTTCAGAATCTGTATGCCTTTACTCTTGTCATGTGCAGATCTCGTTGCAGGCGATTTCATTCATGTGATTGGTGATGCTCATGTTTATCATACTCATATCAGGCCTCTGCAGGAGCAGCTTCGTAAAATGCCAAAGCCTTTCCCTGTAAGTATAATAGCAGAACTTGTGCTAATTCACCTCGAATTATTTTGCTACATGTTTTCTTCCATTCTCTATGCTATTTTATTAGATTCTGTTATCTACTTCATGCAGATTTTGAAGATCAATTCTGAGAAGAAAGACATTGATTCTTTTGTGGCGGATGATTTTGAACTCATAGGCTATGATCCTCACCAGAAAATTGAAATGAAAATGGCAGTATAGAGAGCTCCATTAAAGATTAAGTGAAATTAGAGACTCTGATCCCTCGGCAATATATGCTCATAGTTTTGTGGCAAGAACATATATGTTGCAATTTTCCTCTTTCTTCTTTTAAAGGTATGAATGCTTTTTATATGCTGAACGGTATGGATGCATTTTATATGCTGAACTTTGCTTTGCCTTAGCTAGGTTCTGTATGCCAATCAATATAGATATGTGGTTTGTGTCTATGATATATAACAGTCCATGCCTGGCATACCTGCCACCTAGAATTCCTCTGCCGGTTGCCTCTTACTTGATGATATAGTCATGTAACTTGGTATCATTTAGTAGGACCTCTTAGTAAGGCTGGTATGCCTCATGGGTGGTGTGAAAACAGTAAATGGTGCACCTGAAAGAGCTGGCCACCTAGTGATTTAGGGCCTTTGAGGATCTCTGGAGGGCTGGTGAAGGAAAGAACAGTAGCAACCTCTACAAGGCATTATTCTAGACACTAAGCTATTAGGTGAATTTTTTTCCTTTTTTTTTTCCTGCTAGATTGAAGTTTGAACCGTTTACTATCCTTTAGATTAAGGATTTATGGTTCTTGATTAGTGCTTGGGGAAACTTATAATAACATTCATACCAGAAAATTATCAACAAATTCTTGGATCTGAAGCTTTGGTTTCTTTGTAATGTTTCAGGCACCGATGTGGGAAGCTCATCATGCTATAGAGTGTGAAATGAATGTCAAATATAAATGTGGTAGTTTGGGATATACTTCAAGCTACTGCTTACATAGTGAGAATCCTTTAGTTCCACTCCTAGTCGTGGTTCCAAGGTGATTTAGGATCTGTATTTTCTTTTTCTCTTAACAAGCGTTCTTGTTTTCTTCTTCATGGATCCATCACTTTAACCGCAACAATACTCGACAGTGCTTTTGTTTTTGGTTTTTGAAGTGGATTGGAATTTGGACAGCTATTTTCCTTTGCAGTGCTTTGCTATTGGTGAATTTGGTGTTAGGTCCCGAATTATTGGAAGTAAAGAAAAATGAAACGACGAGATTATGAAAGTAAATATTCCTGAACTTACTGCTGGTTCTTCTCCCTGCTGCATTTTTACTTGTAATGTATGTAAAAATTGTTAGTTAAATTGATTAGTTTGAATAAAACTTGACTCGTGGTTTTTATCAATATCAAGAATTAATGGAATAAAATTAAAAGATTTCCAATTAGAGCGAAACTAGAAGCAGCATGCTTCTAACGAGATCCGATAGTAAGGGTACAAAGTAATGTATTTACTACCGTTAGTTATGAAAGAAGACATTCTTATCTGAGATCATGTGAGGACGAGATTGTCAGGTTATTAAAACCTACGAACAAGTTTAGGAGCAATTTTACTGGCACACGTGTCGCCCTGTTCCATCTAGGAGGTCTGTTTAAATGCGTCCGTTAAAACATGTTGTGTTGTTTAAGGAAATAACAACTATAAATTTAGACTGTTTTAAAGCTTGCTTTGAAGGAGGACAAGCATGGCAGCAATTGAGGATTTTGGATTAGGGTTTCGGGACGTGATGACTATGATCCTGTCCATGTTTGCTCTTGCTCCATGCCGTCCAAATTTTGGTTACTATAAAAACCAAGCTTGAAACTAGGTTTATCATCGGGTAATAATTGTTTGATTAATCAACATCTAAAAATGACAGAATCTTCCGATGGGAAAAGTCCCAAGAAGCTGTTTTCAGGGAAGCAGTAGTGCGTAAACAAAGCAAACAGAAAGGAAATGGGAACCCAAAATAACTCTACGTTTATTAGCAAGCGCGACCACATTCCTAAAATAAGCTTTAAATTACTGGATCTTTTACCATTGCTCCCCTACTCCTACCCTCCTCTTTCACAATTTCACCACTTTCACCATCTGGCTCTTGTGCACCTTCCTCTTTTTTCACTACTTCACCAGTACTCTCGTCAAGCTCTTTTTTCACAACTTCACCATTGTTCCGTCAAGCTCTTGTGCAAGTTTTCCCTCTGCTGTTCCTGATTCTCCATTGCTATCTTTGTTTCCGTCCTCTCTCTTCAGTCTTTCGCTCTTATCCTCGAGGAACTCAATAAGACCTGTTAAAGCACTCTCTGGCTCCTCGTATCTCAGCAGTTGCTCGCCTACTTCTGCAGGAGTAACCCTCGCTTTCTCTATTAGCGCTTCGACACAAGGGAAAAGTGGGTGCTCTGTAAACCCGAGGTAGTTGGAGGCCAGCAATTTGAATCCACATGGAGTGCAGTAGGACATGTGAATGTGCACATCCATACGACCAGGTCGCAACAAAGCAGGATCAAGTCTTTCTTTGTGATTGGTAGTGAATATTATGATTCGTTCATCCCCACAGCTTGACCATAATCCATCCACAAAGTTAAGCAATCCTGATAGGGTCACCTGATACTATACAAAATCATGTCTGTCAAGAATGGGAAACGCTGCAAGCTTCATTAAAATAGCTATAAAAGCTTGTGTTTTGAGCTTTGTCATCTATATATCAGATCCCCGTATGGGGAGGACCTTCAGTCATGCATGGAAATTGTTTACTTGAAGAGAATATCTGGTATATAACTCATTGCCTGAGACATTACTCCTTATCACACAAACTCCTGTATCCAACCAGTCATAATCTGGAAAGAAAGTGTGAACCAGTAATACCATGCCATTCTTGACTTGGAAGAAGGAAAAGGTCAACGATGTTTCATTAGTATACCTAGTAATCTCATCATAATATGGATTTTATCAAATCCTCCTCAGGACTAAAATATAGTTTCTGAACGCAAAATAAAATCGAGAGGGATAAGTACCTGGTTTACTTGGTCATATGGTGGATGACGTCGAGAAGGCATCATTGCCCTGGCTTGTGCAAGCCTATCCTGTAATTCAATGGAACAGTCGATGTCCTCCACCACAAGTACGGACTTATTCTCAGTTGAGATCAACAAATTTCTAAGCTCAGAATTGGTCTTAAGATCAGTCAATTCCAGATCATAAATATCAAACTTAAGATAGTTAGCTATTGCAGCAATCAAGCTCGACTTTCCAGTCCCTGGTGGACCAAACAGTAAGTACCCACGTTTCCATGCCTTGCCTACCCTCCTATAGAACTCCCTTCTCTGCACAAACCTCTCAAGATCCTCCATGATCACCCTCTTCCCTTCCATATCCATTGCTAACGTATCGAATGTAGCAGGATGATGAAGATTCACTGACTGCCAGACATCCCCTCTCCCTCCCGACATCCTGTCATGCCTAAGCGAGAAAAGCTTCAAACTCTTCTTCTCCTCTTTCGTTTCTTTTGATTTTTTAATCACGTGCTTTAAATAAACATCAATAACCATATCCTTATGCTTCTTGTGAAAACTCAACTCAAAGAACTTATCCTCAGATTTTGGCATAGAATTAAAATTATCAGGGCTTGGAATATATTTTAATGGCACTTGTTTTGAGATGAACTTCCATTTCAGATTAACCCCATTAAAGGTATCAACAATTTCTTGGTTTCTATCTAAAGAGAATGAGAACTTACTCTCTTTCTTGGTGAGTGAGATCTTGAGTTTCTTCGCATCCGGAGGAATTATGGACTCAAGATAGAGCTCTGCGGCTTTGAAGAGATTGTTGTGGTTAAGGTTGTCATATTCTTCAATAACTAAAGTGAACTCCGAAGAAAATGAGTTGATCAAGGTTTTGAGTTTGTAGAAGATGTAGTTTTCGAACTCATAAGGAAGATACTCTTTAACAAGGGAGCGGAAGAGCACAATTGTGGCAGCAGCTGAGGCTCCTGCAGAGATCATAGTCTTAACGGAGGGTATTTGGGTGGCTGAACTGCTGGGAAACATGGTTTTAGGACTCTTAGCGTTTCTAATGCTGGAGGATTTGTGGTGTTTAGTTTGTTGCTTTCAGATCCTTTGGCAAATGCTATCGAGGAGACTCTTTGTTTATTATAATGCAAAATCTGAGAGTAGGAATGGTGTTTGCGAAGTGCAGAGGAAAGAGTGACGAGTGAATGACGGTTTTTTTGATTGATGCTGTGCACCAAAGAACATTTGTTTGATAGCCACGAAAACTTTTATGCTTTTCATTTTGTGATCAACGTCATAATTAGGATTTCACTCATTATTCAATTATTGAAATAAAAAAATCAATTATATAAATAAACATTCCAATAATGAAAAAAAAAAACAAGTATAGAAATAACATACGAAAACAACTGCAACTTTCGTCGAGTACTTTAGCCCCACCAAGAGGATTTTTTCTTGCTCTGCCCCCTACTCTTGCCAACGACTTAGCATGCTGACTCTGGTCGTCAAGGAGTTAGGTATTCTATGCTCACTATTGCACATTGTGAGTGAACAACACGGTCCAATTCTCACTTGTTGATGGGGAACGGACAAGCTGCCCGACTGAATGGTGTTTTCCATGCTCTGTAGTCGAGTGTGTAGTTAGGTTTTTGGTTCTTGATTCGTTGTTGCTACGAAGTTTCTTGCAAACTTGCTAGTATCTCTTCTGATGGAGTCACTTTCAAGCCTGATGGCTATGTATGGTGTTTGGAGTGCCGTTTTTAAATTTTATTTTATTTTATTTAAAATAATTTTTTTATATTTTTAGATTATTTTTACATACTAATATTAAAAATAATTTTAAAAAATAAATATTTGTATTTTAATATATTTTTAAACCAAAAATACTTTAAATTACCAGAACCGTTACAATTCCAAACATATCCTTACCTAGTAAAGAAAGCGTAAAAGAAGCATTGGTCGATGCAAAGGGATCCACAGAAATTGCAGAGAAATAGAAAATATATAGCTGAAGCAAATTGACGAAGAAAAAAATAATTTTTTGATATGAAAGTCGACTATGACTGGTCTCAGTGAATTCACAACCACCGTGTGATTGAGATTCCTTGATTTTTAAGTGTTTTTTATTTAAAATTTATTGAAATAATTTTTTTATTTTTTAAAATAATTTTTAATGTCCAAACAATAAAACAATATAAAAAAATAATTTTAAACAAAAAAATTTAATTTTTTAAAAAACATAATTTTCACTCATATCTCAGTAAAATATGATATATACCACCATCACTTGGCCCTTGATCATTAAGGGACCATGCTACTTTATTACTTTATTGACTAACAACATTACGAGAATTTTTTTAAAATTTTGATTTAGACATTCTAAAATGACAGAATGTGTTTGATTTAAAGACAAGTCCTGCATTAAGATCCTGTTTTACTCGATTTAGATTTCAAGCATGGTTCATGTTCTGCTTTGAATCTACAAAATAAAATTCGAATATAATAAAATTAGAGACCTAATCTTCTCCTTCCCACCGAAAAAAACCTTCTCCATCATGCAGTTTTGTTTTTCAAGAAAAGCATATTCAATTAATTTCGAAAGCTGTTTTCATTTATTTATGTGGTTGAAAGACGGTTTAAGAAGAGCAGTTTAGGCAATAAATGAGCCATTAGAAAACAATTAATTAGAGAGTCAAAAAAGGGGGGAAAGCAAAAAACAACTTCTTCTCTTTTCTTTCTTTATTAATGAAACCTTCTTCTCAGAAGATGAGTCCAAGACTCCTGGACTCAGCAATTCAACTGTGCTGCTTGAAAAATGAGAGAGCCACGCATCATTGAAAAACACTCTATCCAGCCTTTTGAATATGGTATTGGCTAGTTTCTTATTAAACCAAAGAGTGAAAGTGGCCAGTGAAGGAATAATCATCTAGTCCGCCATCATCAAGACACTGATCGACATCGTTCATAGCAGAGGAACTATGACCTGAACTTCCTGTTGTTTCTGTGGATTGTCTGATTATGCTGGAATCTCCAGCAACTAAACAAGGAGAGCCATTTAAAGTGGAGCTGATACTGACCATTTTTCTTTCATCAAAGCTTCTCTAACAAAATCATTATATGAACCATATACAAATGATGCATCTGATA